AAAAAAAAAAAAAAAAAAATCAAAAGCACCACTTCTCAGAAGAACTTGATCTGAAAGAGTTTGCACTTTTATTCTCATTTCATATGGACATAAGTGGCTCCTTAGTGAACCTGTTCATAGTGAAACAACTCCATGGAGAAGCAAACAAGTGAATGTTAGAATGCACAAATGCTAAAGAGATGTTCCTCTTTTTCCTTCTATCCTACTCCCCCACTCCCAATTTTAATTTATTAAATCATCCAAGCCTCTGCTGGCCTGTCTTTATTTTTGATCAGTATTTATTTGGTCTTAGATCTTCACTTTCTATAACGTGAGATCTTTTGACATGCTAATCTGATTATTTTTAATTTGTTCCCATGAGCCACTGCACCTGGCCCCATTGGGAATAATTCTAAGTCAAGAATCTCAAGTAAAAACAGGCAATATCTAAAGCCTAAATCTAAATGTTTGATTAGGTACTAAGACAGACTGGTGGTTGGGCCTCTGACCAGGACTGAAGGAAGGCCTGATGGCAGGTGCCCTGTGCGCCATCTCACCATTAGAAAAGTTTTCTCTTCTGGAGAAAGTAGGAAGAAACAAGGCTGCCTGATCCCTAGGTGGCAATGGCCAAGCCCAGCAGGGGCCCCCATGAGCCAGGGCTCACCCTACTTCTAGGCATGGGGGTCCTGTTCTCGTCAGGGCTCCTCCAACACCCCAGAGAGGAGAGGATGGTGGCCCCAGGGTCTGTCCACATCTTCAGTGAAGAGTGTCTGAGCATCATGATGTTCAGGACTTGGCCTGTGGCACAAACCATCACCACTGGAAACAGGTGTGGTTTTGGAAGGTGTGAGCACTGTGGGGACTTACCTGACCTAGTGGCAAGGTCTTAGTTTTACTAGCAGAAGAAGAAACCCTCCTTGGTGGGTAGATTCATCTGCAGGATCACATCAGCTAACAAACTTGTCATTTCATGCATAATGAAGAATGTTACAGTACCTCTGGCTCTGGGCTTCTGTCTTCACTAAGGAACACCTGCTGCATATGCAGCGAAACGCCTGGTCGTTTGCTGGAGGCACACTCCCCTGCCTGGACTAGGATGGATTCCATTGCAGGGCATTTTAATGACACAGTGGGGCCAGTTGGTGCACTGATCCTGGTCATTACTCCTACGCCCTGGCCTGCAGCCATCCTCTCAATGTCTTCTTTGGGCTTGGGTCCTTGAACCAGCTGCCTCAACAGCAGGACCCCTGGTAAAACTGCAGCTTTATGATCCACCACCAGGGAGTCTGTCCCAGTGTCATTCCTGCGACTGCCCAGCAACTGGTTCCTCAGTATAGGATTTGTATCACTGAAGTGGGAGAACCTCTGCATAGGTATTGCAGGGCGTTTGTCCAAGCCCACCAGCCTCCTTTTGCCTTTGTTGCCTCTTGTGCATTGCTTTGTATAAATGTTCCAGCCAGGTGGGTGCTAATCCTAGCACTTTGGGAGGCCAAAGTGAGAGGATCACTCGAGGCCAAACTAGCCTGGGTAACTCAGCAAGACCCCATCTTTACCAAAAAAAAAAAATTAGCCTGGTGAGGCAGTGCATGCTTGTGGTCCCAGATATTTAGAGTCCAGGAGTTCAAGGTTGCAGTGAGCCATGATCACGCCACACCACTGCAGGTCAGCCTGAGTGACACGGCAAGACCGTGTCTGGAAAAATAAATAAGGTAAATGTTCCATGCCTCCTGCACCCTTAGAAGACAGCCTATAGATATCCAACCCACTCCTACCCGTGCTACACACCGCCTTTGACGTGCCGTAGCCCGGGCTCCGATCTTCTCAGCCTCCACTTCAAGCCTGCGTTCCTTGGGGAGGGTATCCAGCCCTAGATGTACCACTGCCCCAACACACGTCATGCCCAACCAACCTCGGTTACTTTGCGAGTTTACCTCCATCCTAAGTGGACGGTTGCTAAGGTGGGACCGCTGGAGCTGTAGACCTGGGAGGTTCGCTGCCCCAACTTGATGCTCAATATGAACTTTTGAAAATAAACCGGATTGTTGAGATTTGAAAAAATCTCATAAAGCTGCTGAAAAGAACTGGCCAGAGCCGTGAAGTTTTAGAGGTGGCTGACGTAAGGTGGCTGCGCGGCCCGGGATGCCCTCCCGGCCTGGGGTGAATGGCTGCTGTCGCGTTGGCCCCGCAGGCCCCGCAGGCGCCAGGCCTAACCTCGGACTTAACCTGCTACCCTGCCTTGCGCGCGCCGCAGCCGCTCTCTGTTGCTATTGGCTGCTCGTCCTGCGTGTTGGCGCTTCTCGAAGAGGCGGGGCGAGGATGTAATTGAACACGTCGGTGCTCATTAGTTCTGTCAGTTGAACACCATGGCCAATTTCTTCATTCTTCATTGGCTGGCGGACTGAGGGGGCGGGCTTGGCGCGCAGGTCGCCCGGACATGGCCGAGTGCAGCAGCTGGCAGGTCAGTGTGCTCGGAAGCGGGGACCACCGGGGCTTTCCGGAGGGAGGGAACAGGACAGGCTCGGGGCGTGGGGCGTAGGGCATGGGGCGCGGCCGCCGGGTCCAGCTCAGGTGTCCCCCCTTGCTGCAGCCGCCGCGCCCCTGCGAGGCCTACCGCGCCGAGTGGAATCTCTGCCGCAGCGCCAGGCACTTCCTGCACCACTACTACGTCCACGGCGAGCGGCCCGCCTGCGAACAGTGGCGGCGCGACCTGGCCAGCTGCCGCGACTGGGAGGAGCGCCGGAGCGCCGAGGCCCAGGTGCGCCGGGAGGGAGCGGGGCGGCGCTCGGGAGCGCCTTGCAGGGCCCATCTTTCCCTACCCCTCCACGCCCCAGGCTCCGCCGCGGAGCCTAGGACTGTCGGGGTCCCTACCCTCCTCCTGCTTCCTTTCTGTTGAGAGATTGTGTAAATTAGCATATCAGCAGGACCTTCAGAGGGCACTAACAAGGCCTGTGAGGAGGGTGCAGCGAATGTTAGGGTCGTTAGCTGGCCTGTGCTGGAGTTGATGTCGCTGAGTCCTGTGTGACCAGGAGCCATCCTTCATCCAGCCCCAGTAGACACCGCTGAGAAACAGAGAAGGCCTGGGTTCCTGGAGCAGAGGGCGGGTGGATTGTTGGAGAACGGTACCCCAGGGACCTGGTGGGCCTTGATAGGGAGTTTAAAGTGTGCTGGGAAGCATAATTTGATTTATATCTTTAAAAGATCAGTCTGTTAGCAAAGTGTGGTGGCGTACACCTGTGGTCCCAGATACCTGGGGGTGAGGCGGGAGGATCGCCTAAGCCCAGGAGTTCAAAGCTGCAGTGAGCTATGGTGGCACCACTGCACACCAGCCTGGGCAACAGAGGGAGACCTGTCTCAGGGAAGAAAAAAAAAAAAGTTCAATCTGTTTGCTAGGGTATAAAGAGTATATTACAGGGGCAGAGAGACTGGTAAGGAGGTGGTTCTAGTTTTTTATTCGTCCATCAAATATGTACTACACTGGGAGCTTTTGGAGATGCACGAGTGATAAGAAGAGTCTTTGCCCTCCTGGCACCCACACTGTAGAATACAGTGCTATGATGGACCCCTTGTGGGAGAGACGATGGAGAGAAGCCAGCCAAAATGTGCAAGGCTCATGGGGAGTGCCCAAGAATCAGAATCAATAGGACTGATTAACACTTCAGCATTGTTAAGTGTATGCAGTGATCTGAAAGAGAGAAACTAACGTAGAAACCAGACTGCTATATAAAAGAGATGACTATTCCATAATATGTGAAGGTCAAAAAAATGGGAGAAAGCTGACAGCCTATATAGCAAGAGATTGATAACTTTAATGCATATTTATGTGCGTGTGTGTATAAAGAGCTCTTACATATCAATACAAAATACAGGGATTATTTCAGAATGAAAAAATGGACAGAGGACACAAAGAAACAATTCATTAAAAAAGAAAGCCAGCTGGCATGGTGGTGGGCACCTGTAATCTTAGCACTTTAGGAGGCCAAGGCAAGAGGATCGCTTGAGCCCAGGAGTTTGAGACCAGCCATGGGCAACATGGTGAGACTCCATCTTTATAAAAATAATAAAAAAGATTAAAAAGCCTGGGCATGGTGGCTCACACCTGTAATCCTAGCGCTTTGGGAGGCCAAGGTGGGCAGATTACCTGAGGTCAGGAGTTCAAGACCAGCCTGGCAACATGGCGAAACCTCATCTCTACTAAAAATACAAAAATTAGCCAGGCATGGTGGGGCATGCCTGTAATCCCAGCTACTTGGCAGGCTGAGACAGGAGAATTACTTGAACCTGGGAGGTGGAGGATGCAATGAGCTGAGATGGCGCCACTGCGCTCCAGCCTGGGTGACAGAGTAAAGCTCCAGCTCAAAAAAAAAGGAAAAAAACAAATGGCAGGTGTCAGGTATATAAGTCTAAATGACAATAAGAGCAGGTTTTGCCCAACAGAAATTTGGAAGTGTTGATAGGGGTTTGAAGAATTCTGGGTTGTTGTGCAGTGTTGGTGGGAGTGTCAGGTATTCTGATTATCTAAATGTCAGATGCATAACTTTTGACCCTTAAGTTTTACTTCTGGAACTTTATCCTAGGGAAGTAATTGGGTAACAGTGGTTAAAAGTTCAGAATGCTCATTATGTTTTTGATACTGCAAAAGCTGAAAACAACCTAAATTTCACTAATAGATTACATTTGATCAAATAGCTTTTTCCACCAAGTGAAATACTGGATACGCTTTGAAAAGAATGGTCAGTCATCTAGCTGGGTATGGAAAGGTGCCCACAGTGCATCGTTGGATGCAAAAAGTAGGAAGTAGACTAGCCGGCAGAAGACTTTCCCATCATTAGGGTAACGTAAGTTGGCTCTAAAATTTGGACCAGAAAGGGAAGCTGTTAACTGCTGCACCGGGAATGGATGCTTGGGAATCTTTCATATTCTGTGCTATATTTCTGATATCTTTCTAGACAAGATCAAAATATTTTATTTGAGGCAACAGAGCTTGAACAAAGACAGACACGTAGACAGATTAAATTATCTGTATAAAGAGGCTCACACAGCACCTGATACCTACCAAGGGCCCACAGCAAAGGTCACTCCTGTTGTGATACACTGCCCTGTATCTGTGTTGGGAGACAGTAACCAAGAGAAGCTGATGGGTTGAGTGGCACTTGTGGCACCACTCAGGTGGGTGGTCTGACTGTTCCCACCCTTCCAGGGTACCCTGGGCATGTATTTCTTCCCTGTCTTCCTCCCATCTTTCTTATGATACTCCTCCCTGCAGCTCCCCACAGCTGCTCTTTCAGACTCGTCTCTCCTCTCCACTCAGCACTCCCAGGCTTATTTTCAGCAGGTGAGTCTGCCCCAAACTCACGAGGTCAACCGAAGCCATTGAGCCCTGAGGCCCAGGAGAAGATACTTTAATATTCCTCAAATTATGATGATCCGTTCAGTAGTTTTTCACAGTAGCTGGTGGGAAAAATATCATCTGATCTCTGTGTGCTAATATGGAACAATCACCGAGGTATAACAGGTGGAAGCAGCTGAGCTGCAGAGTGGTGTGTACCATAGGCCCCTGCCTGTCCAACTGTGTTTCAGAGGGTGATGAGAAGGGAGGTACAGGGGTCTTGAGGTGCTCGGAGCCCTGGGGAGTGACTAGAGTCTCATTTGCACAGCGATCCCTCTGTGAGAGCGAGCGGGCACGAGTCCAGGCTGCACGGAAGCACATCCTGGTGTGGGCCCTGAGGCAGAGTCCCCCTGCAGACTGGCATCTCCCTCTGCCGCAGGAGAAGGATGAATGACAAGCACCCCTGCCATTGGCCTGTGCAGCTTCCTCCCTCGGTCTGTTTCAAGTTGCTGTTGCACAGCCCTGGGGACTGTGACTAGCCTATACAGTGTAGGGGCTCACTGTGAGCTCTTGCTGGGCTTGGAACATGGAGCAGGACATTGCTAGCCCTACTTGCCCACCCCTTACCTGCATGCCAGGCGCCCTGACACTGTGATGCTCTGCTGGACAGTTGCACTCCTTCAGAGCTCCCAGGAGGCCAAGCATTATGGCAGGTACTTGTGAGCAGCCAGGTCAGGCTGGGCACAGTAGCATAGGAGATGGCGGTCCTGAGGTCTAGGGTTCTCAGGTAAACTCCTGAAGGGTAGCCCTGCACAGGTGGGTCATAATGAGGTAGCTAAACAGTTGTGCCTCTGTGAATCCCTTTGCTAGTCGTTGGGAAACCGCCTGCCACGTCCTGATTTGGTGAGCATTGTGAGTGCTCACCCTGCGCTCCAGCCCCTCGCTTAGTTCTACTGCATGTGCAGGTGGGTATGCCGAGCATGCAGGGCTTCCTGGCCCTTCTGCACCAGCAGGCTCTTCTTCGTCGGCCCCTGGAGACTCTGGTTTTTAAGGAATGGCACACAGCTTCAGAACACACAACCTTGCATGAAGAGGGTTTGTGGACTCAGCTTAAGAAATCCAAGCCCAAGACATGGGAATTAAGGACTCCTTCCCTCAAAGTTTCCCTGGTCGTTAATGTATAAAAAGCCATTTCATTTGATTTCAAATAGAAGCTGAAAATTAAATTCACATTTGTTAGATTTCATATATAACAGTGTTGTACCTGGACAGTTTTAGAATTTTGTATGCTTACTCTCTTGTAGGTGTTTTAACATGTATGAACCACCAAAAACACTGTTTCTCAAAGAAGTCTCTTTATTACTAAGAATGGTTTTGCATCCTCAGCAGGCCCTGTTGTGTGATGCTGAGGGCTAGGCTGGCTCTGTGCCCAGCACCCTCCCTGCTCTCTTCCTGGACACAGGCAGCAAGTTGAACATCTTTTAATTTGTTCTTTGGGGCAGAATAATCGATCACTTCAGAAGAGTGTCCATTAAAGAATAGTATTTCCCTGCTTGAGTGTGTTTTCTCCTGTGCTCCCTAAGAGCCCCTTTCTGTGTCTGCGAACAGTGGTGGTGGGTGGAGGGCGGATCCCATGGAGGATCATGGGATCCCAAGAGCAGGAGCATCTAAAGAGGAGCCAGCATTCCCCCATCATCAGGGGAATATTGATGTGTCAAAGGCAACCAGGGTGCCTCCAGCCTGGCTGTGGCTAGTTTAATAATGAGCATTTCCAGCCAGTGAGGGAAGAGAGGAAGACTGCTAGAGATCTACAAGGTTTTTCTCACTCTTAAACACAGGGAAGGGGCTCTGAATTTGTAGTCTGCGGTAATCCCAGCACTTTGGGAGGCTGAGGTAGGTGGATCACTTGAGGTCAGGAGTTCGAGACCAGCCTGGCCAACATGGTGAAACTACACTTCTACTAAATATACAAAAATTAGCTGGGTGTAGTGGCACCCACCTGTAATCCCAGCTACTCGGGAGGCTAAGACACAAGAATTGCTTGAACCCAAGAGGCAGAGGTTGCAGTGAGCTGAGATTACGCCAGGTCACTCCAGCTTGCCCAACAGAGTGAGACTCCATCTCAAAAATAAATGAATTTGCAGTCTGCATGTGATGGCTGGGATTGCAGCAGCTACCTTCGGGTTCCTGGGGCAAGGCTGGAGAGCGCAGCAAAAGCCTGGGCATGCCAGCCAGCACCCTAGCCTGTGAGGGCCTCCCCTCGGTACAGCCATGCTCCCTGCCACCTGCTTGTTTAGCAAGGTGTACAGTTTGCAGCCGCATGCTCTGTTAGAAAGCATTAAGTCCTGCCTCTGTAGTGCGACTGTCATATTTTGCCTTTCTTCACTACTCAAGTTCCATATCAACAGATAATCTCCCTGGACAGGATGTTCCTGCACTTATTCCTGTGTCAATTCCTTCACAACATTTGAGTGTCCACATGTTGAACAGGGTTTGAGGCTTACAGCTTTGAAATGGACAAGTTGTCTTCAAAGAGTTTCTCTTGTAGTATGGGGGAAAGACAGGCATTAAACATCAATAAATAGGAATGTAAAATGGTGGCTGGGTGTGGCGGCTCACGGTTATTATCTCAGCACTTTGAGAGGCTGAAGTGGGAGGATTGCTTCAGCTCAGGAATTTGAGACCAGCCTGGGCAACATAGCAAGACCTCATCTCTACAAAAAGTACACGCATTTGTAGTCCCAGCTACTTGAGAGGCTTAGGCCGGGCGCGGTGGCTCAAGCCTGTAATCCCAGCACTTTGGGAGGCCGAGGCGGGTGGATCACAAGGTCAAGAGATCGAGACCATCCTGGTCAACATAGTGAAACCCCGTCTCTACTAAAAATACAAAAAATCAGCTGGGCATGGTGGCGCATGCCTATAATCCCAGCTACTCAGGAGGCTGAGGCAGGAGAATTGCCTGAACCCAGGAGGCGGAGGTTGCGGTGAGCCGAAATCGCGCCATTGCACTCCAGCCTGGGCAACAAGAGCGAAACTCCATCTCAAAAAAAAAAAAAAAAAAAAAAAAGGCTGAGGCCAGAGGATCACTTGAGCCCAGGAGTTTGAGGCTGCAGCGAGCCATGATTGTGCCAGTGCACTCCAGCCTGGGTGACACAGTGATATCCTGTCTCAAAATAAGTAAAAATAAAATGGTGATCATTTCTGCAGCAGTTTAGACAATTTTTTTTTTGGTGGTGGTATGAAGAAGATGAATACTGCAATAAGAGCAGTATCTTTTGAATTTTTTAGACAGGAGCTGGGTGTGGTGGCTCACACCTGTAATCTCAGCTGCTTGGGAGGCTGAGGCCAGAAGGATCACTTGAGGATAGGAGTTTGAGATTGCAGTCGGCTATGATCATGCCACTGCACTCCAGCCTGGGCAACAGAGCAAGACCCCATCTCTAAATAAATAAATAAATATATATATATATATATATATATATATTTTGAGACAGAGTTTCGCTCTTGTTACCCAGGCCGGAGTGCAATGGTGCGATCTCGGCTCACCGCAACCTCCGCCTCCTGGGCTCAGGCAGTTCTCCTGCCTCAGCCTCCTGAGTAGCGGGGATTACAGGCACGTGCCACCATGCCCAGCTAATTTTTTGTATTTTTAGTAGAGATAGGATTTCACCATGTTGACCAGGAGGGTCTCGATCTCTTGACCTCATGATCCACCCGCCTCGGCCTCCCAAAGTGCTGGGATTATGGGCGTGAGCCACCACGCCCGGCCCAATAAATAAATATTTCAAAAATAAAAATAAATGTTTTGGACAAAACCCCACAGAAATAATAAGTATTTTACATTATTATCTCGCATAGACTGTTAGGTACAGTTTGTTGTTGAAATACAAAACAATATATATCCATACGGTATGTGATATAGTGCCATTTTCAGTAACTGCTATACACATAGCAACTCAGATGAAACTCAAGGAAATTATTCAGCATAAAAAGCCAATCATGAAAACATAACACGTAGCATGATTCCATTTATGTAATATTGGTGAAATGTAATTATAGAGATGGGAAACAAAGGTTATCTGGGTTAGGTTAGGGATGGTAGGAGGATGGGTCACCTGAGGGAGTCCTGTGGTGTTGAAAACCATCTGTGCAGCTTGACTGTGGTGGTTACACAGGGCTACACATGAAATTAAAATTGTGTAGACTTAGGTATGCAAAGGAGTGCAGATATAACGAAATTGAATATGATCTGTTAGACTGTGCCAATGTCAAATTTCTGGGACCTGACACTGTAATATAGTGTATAAGGTGCTAACATTGGGGTAGGCTGGGGCAAGGGTGTATGCAGGACCTCCCTGGATGACCTCTTATGCAACCTCCTATGAATCTATAATTACTTCAAAATAAAAAGTTGAAAACAAAACTGTCGGCCATGACCTACTGAACTGATTTGACAACCTAATGGATGAAACCTACTGTTTTAAAAAGGACTGCTGTCGGCTGGGCGGGGTGGCTCACACCTGTAATCCCAGCATTTTGGGAGGCCAAGGCAGGCAGATCACGGGTTTAGGAGATCAACACCATCCTGGCTAACATGGTGAAACTCCGTCTCTACTGAAAATATAAAAAATTAGCCAGGTGTGGTGGCACGTACCTGTAGTCTCAGCTATTCAGGAGGCTGAAGCAGGAGAATCGCTTGAATCCAGGAGGCAGGGGTTGCAGTGAGCCAAGATTGTGCCATTGTACTCCAGCCTGGGTGACAGAGTGAAACTGTGTCTCAAAAAAAAAAAAACCACTTGTGCTGGACACTTAACCTGGGCAGGGAGGTGGGGGAAGGCCTCAGTGTCTGAGCCCAGACCCGGATGAAGAGGCTCAACTCCTGTCAGGTGGAGAAAGGGACCCACAAAGCCTGAGGAGTCTGATGCAGAGAAGGGGTGGGGTGGCTATACCCAGTGTGGACAGATCAGCGGGCTACTGCAGTAGAATGGGCAAAAAATGGCAATGACTTGGACCTCAGGCAGCAGAGGAGGTCATGAAAAGTGGTTCCATTCAGCATTTGGCTCAGGTGGGACCAAAGGACTTAGACTCCTTAGGCAACATCTTTATCTGGGACTGATGAGGTTTTTTTTTAAATAAAAGTGGTTTTTTTTTGTTTGTTTGTTTTTTGAGATGGAGTTTCGCTCTTGTTACCCAGGCTGGAGTGCAATGGCGCGATCTCGGCTCACCGCAACCTCCGCCTCCTAGGTTCAGGCAATTCTCCTGCCTCAGCCTCTTGAGTCGCTGGGATTACAGGCACGTGCCACCATGCCCAGCTAATTTTTTGTATTTTTAGTAGAGACGGGGTTTCACCATGTTGACCAGGATGGTCTCGATCTCTT